GGTTTCCACTTTCATTTGCTTTTTTTTTTTTATTGCTTAAAGATGATTTTTTAACAGAAATAATTTGCAGGCACCCAGATAGCAATGAGTCGGCGGACCACCGTCGGTTCTCCGGCGGCAGTAGAAGCGTCAGAATGGCGACATCGCAAACACGTTGGACGGCGCACCGCCGGCGGCAGCCGCTTTTTAAAAGCGGCAGCCGCCTTCCTACCGCCTTCGTTAAGCGGCCGGCCCGCGGGCCAACCGCCGTTCCGCCGCCTTTATATTGAAGGCCGTCCTTCCGCGGCCCGCCGGAGGCAAACGCTATTTTCGAGCGCTCTGCCGCCGCTTATTCTGGCTATATATATATTTTTTATTTATAGCATGCAGTTTATCAAGAATAATGATTGCTCAAACCAGACAAATTTACAATTGGCATTTTTATTCTACATTTCAAAGTACAGTAACTGTCATTTAAACAAGATGTTTCAGATCACTGAAACATAACAGAAAAATAAATAAATCAATATACTAACATGCAGGTTTCCAATTCAATTTTGGTTAAACAGCCTTACAAGCAAATTACAACACTTACAATAAGTGTTCATATAAAAAGGACAGCTCTAGGGTAAAAAATTACCAGTAAACATTATGACAAGTAAAGAGGATATTTGATACCAAATAATGTGCAAGATACCAAATAAATAAAAGTATAACTACATTTACAAACCATTTATAACAATATGATAAGTGGTAGTAATTTATAGTAAAGCTCTGGAGTAGAATAGGCCATTATAACCCCAATGCTGACCTGTGGCACAAGGATTTACAAGCTTTATTTGAAAAAGACAAAAAGAAAGTAATTTCCACAGTGAGTGAGTGTAGTCTGACACTTCTGACTTCTTTAAGGGTCTTGATTCTACTGACTGCAAGATAAAGAAAGGATTCCAGTTGTCAGTGATTCTGGGGTGTCAGTAGTCAGTCTAGTTTTAAGTGGTCGGCTGTGGGTCCCTCTCAGCTGTGCGGCGCCTTTTTCTGCCTTCACGGTCAGATGCTCCTTTCAGGTAACGCGTAACATTAACCTGGACCGCCTCATCAGTGCATCCTGGGTTGCCGGGTCCTTCCGGATGGCTAATATAGAAAATACAGATCTGTCATTTAATTTGAATTGCATGAGGACAATAGGACATACACATCTACTTAAATCTAAAAAAAAATATCCAACTTACTTTGAACAATGGTCTTCAGGAACATGTCTCTAAAACATGCTTTATCCCCTACACCAAGCTGAAAATCCAAAAAAGTGTTACAAATTAAATAAATAAAAAATGTGAAAGGCTAAGGATTCAGACTGTAATATATGCAGTATACAATGTTAAATTTTACTTTATATCTAGGTCTACTACATGTACAGGTAGCCCCAGTGGGAATTAAACCTACAACCACAGGTGCTGTTTGCAAGTTGTACCTAATTGCTCAGTGCAAGCAAACGTCTTCAACATTGTTTGTTGAACTTGCTTCACCTGCTCTTGAAGTAAGATTTTACAATTCGTATTTTTATATGTAATATTGTAGTGTTTATTATAAATGATTTATCTGTGCACTTCATTATTCTTTTAAAATTCATGTAGCCTTATAATCTTTAATCAAATACGTTACCCTTCCCTCCCCCCTCGAAACGACTTCTCTTCTCTTCCGGTCATGTGCTATGGCGCAAGGGCGTGGCAACTCCCCTCAAACCGTGCTATGAGCAGAGATGGAGAAGAGGAGCGCTAGAGTAAAACCCTGCCCTCCGTTCAATATACTGTTTCACTTTTAAATACGTCACAACACTGGAGAAAAGTCGTTTGTAACTTCCGGTTCATGCCGACTTCAAATAGAAGCAATAGTTTCCAAGACAAAAAAACTTCACAAATAACATCACTTACTTGTACTCAAACTCTTGGCTCTGTGAAGTGGAGTCTGGATTACTGGGGAGAAACCTGGTAGCGAGAAAGAGGAAACAGAAATTTGAAAATCTAACAAATGGTATAGTTTAGTGGCAGGATCACTAATCCAGCATAACAGCAATAGATTTTACATACCAGTTCAGCATTTTCCTGGTTTTCTGGAATCGATGCATCTTTCTAGAGTTTTTTTTCTTGAGACTTACAAGATTCTAGAGTAGGGAATAATGAATATAAGAGTCAGTTATCCACAATAAACAGAAAATAAATTACACAGATGAAATACAGGAAAATCAAATACACAAGTCAGACCCATTTACCTGCTCCTTCATGAACTTAAAATGATGTTTCTCCCAGGTGCTGTGTGGAGGTGTGCAGAGGATGGCTAAATTGTTGCCTTCGTCTTTTTGCTGAGGTTAAATGGGGGCCAATGGCACATGCTCTCGCTGAGCCACTCTTGCGGAACCACTGCAAATGGCAGATCCTCCTCGTTGATAAACTGAACAATGTGAACCATCTAAAATAGAAGAACATTTTGCATAAAGTATACTTTTTGATTAATTTCCAGGCAAAATCAATAACATTAAAATGCTCACCCCTTCAAAAAACGAGTCATTTTCACAAGTGGATCAACAGAAAACCATGTTCAGAAAAACACAATCATATACATATACACACATATATACATACACACATATATATATACATATATATATATACACACACACACATAGTTATTTTTGTAAGAAAACACCAAAAGTTAAACTTTCTAGATGTAAAGCTTTCTTTCTAGATGTAAAGCTTTGGCGATCTACTGTAGCTAGATACATTTCAACATGTCGAACATGCTTGAATTCAGTGAGTAAAAAAGGCGAAGCAGCATGTGTTAGCTAACACTGTAAGTTAAACTAGACTAGCAGCATGGTTGTCGAATCAAACAAAACATCATTATGTTTAGTTAGAAAACAACACAAGTTATACTGATCAGTCTTTCTTGTTGTAAAGATTTTGCTAACGTTACCATTCCCACGTGGGCGGGAGAATTGTCCTTCAGGATTTAGTTACGTAAGTTAGTTAATTATTCGACTGACCAATACTATCTTAAACCACATACTGTAGTACTCACACTTGCATAAACATACGTAAATATAGTTAAAAGAAGAAAAGAAAAAACTAACGCCAGGAAGAAACTAAGTAACGTTAGCCTAACTAACATTAGCTATGTCAGAAACATGACGCAAACTTTGTAAACAGGCTAACTTACTAGCTTGACTAGTAAGGCAAGAACATATTTGAAAAAGATGAACTAAAAATGTAAAAAATGAACATAATATTGCGTTACACAAAAAGGAAAAATGTACTTACTTTAAAGATCGTAGTCAATGACTAGATAGGATATCCTCTCCAAATACTGAAATCGTGTGACGAGTGGCCACTGTTGTGTTGGTAAATCTGCTTCCGTTTTTTAGGTACTGCCCCTCTCGGCCGGTGGAGGTACTTCTCTGTTTGTGCTTTAATACTTTCTTAAACATTTGTACAGATTGCAAAACTCGCTATTGCAAATGAATCCCTTATACCTGTAAAAGGTAAAATAAATAAAAAAATCGAACTTGTAAAAAAATGAAAGACATAAACGAAATTTCCTGGGGTGACAGAGAGACAAAATATTTATAAATATTTCACTTTATCTTTCAGGTCAAAACAGGGATTTTCATGTTTATTATAAATATTACCATGGTTGCAAATTAATAAAAAAAATCTAAAGCATACCCAAGCTTTTGGCCAAGTTGCAGATGTCTTTCACTGTTCACTGATTTCAGGCATTGGTTAAAAGTCTAACTTCATCCATTTATTCTGCTAAATTGTTCATACCATGAATGAAATATTTATTTTAAAACCTAATCAGAATCAGAAAGATATTTATTGCCAAGTAAGTTTTACAAAAGGAATTCTTTTTGGACTATTTGTGCATCTCACTTGTGCATAAATCAAAGAAATGAATTGTCACCTTAAGTGAATAAAATAATTCTATATATTTTACATAGGCCTATCACTGAATCGCTTCAGAGTTTCAACGTAATTTAAATGTATTTTCCTAAACCTTATCATGGAATCAGACTGAGTCAAATCTGTTATAAACCCTATAATGACTTTGGTACCTAAAAATTTGATATAATTCACATAATAATTATAATCGCTTTAAATGTGAAAGTTAAAATGCTGTCAGTTCCACTCATGCCAATGACATGGCTGGTCGATTTCAAAGCGGCTTGCCGCCAGCCGGCCGCGGTTCATTTAGACGGCGGCAACCGCCAGAGAGAATGAAGTCGGCGGCCCGGCGGCTGTTCGCCGGCGGCATCTCGCAAGAAATGGGAGTGACGTATTCGGCGGCAAACGTTTCTTCTCCGCCAGCGGGCCGCACCTATAGCCGACAGTTTGGGGCCGGCGGCAAAAAGAAGCCGTGCCGATATTTTTTGCTATCTGGGCAGCTACAGCAAAAATATGTTCTAAGAAAGGTTTGCTTACATTCCGAATAAGTAGAAATACTATTTTTATATTAACGTTTTGAGAACATTATTCTACGGACGTTCTACTAACGTTACTGGAAGAACGTTTGTTCATAATAACCAAAATTAGCCAAAATGAAGCTTTAGTGACATTTAGTCACATTAGCCAAAGTTCGTTGGGGTAATGTTCTCAACGATATAATGGCGCTTTTAAAAACAGTCACAAAGAAAAATAAACATATGGTTTTGTAAATTTTTAATTAAATTATTATTAATAAAAGAAAAACTGACGCTACGTTAATATCCATGATATTTATCATGTAGAAGTGAATGGCGAGCGAGTGAGTGACGTTATCCGAGGGCGGGCTGAGGAGAGAGAGAGAGAGAGAGTATTATTATTTTGTGTACTAAATGTTCTAAATCATTTTCTATGTTGTTTTGATGCTTTGGCAATACAAAATGTATTTTTTTGTCATGCCAATAAAGCTTTCTGAATTGAGAGAGAGTGTGTGTGTGTGTGTGTGTGTGTGTGTGTGTGTGTGTGTGTGTGAGTGAGAGAGAGAGAGAGAGAGAGAGAGAGAGAGAGAGAGAGAGAGAGAGAGAACGGCCGCTGGACTCCATTAACGCAAAACCCTCCAGGAGCTCGTCGCTGGACTTTGGCGATTTTCTTCTTTTTCGGGAATCTTCCACATGATAGGATTAAATACGCGGTCGAAGGAAAGAAAGCGTGCAGACTGTTGAAGTTCTGGGAAGTGAAGTGGTGTTTTGTGGATTTGTTTCGGCGTATTTGTGAAGGTTAGTGAACGCTATGATTTCACTCCTCTCAGGATTTGTCTGGCGTAGCTAACGTTACTCCACAACTCTGGATACAAATCTCACTGTTTCCCTGCTCAAACCCTACGTGTTACTTTGCTTTGTGTTACGTACTCTCGTATCCTACCAAAAAAAAAGCGAGTAAACTAACTTTCGTGGTCGTTTTTGTGTGTTTTCTCTCATTGACCTGGCTGTCTTTATTTAGTTGGCATTTGGAGCGGGGCTGCTGACGTCATCATAGCTCAGAGATTGACCGTTAGTCGCACGAGCTACAGGTTTAATATCATATTTAGGTTTAAATCTGAATTTGTATGATATTTTGTTGTAGTTTATTAAATTAGGCGGCTGGTATGATTTAACTTACTGCATTTAGTTCACACCGACTTCTGGAAATAATACCAATTCCATTCAGTTTAAAACGTGACAAACATTACAATGTATTGCAAAAGCACTTCCAAAGTAAATCTAATGTTTCATAATAATTTAATATATAGTAATTCTAATACCCTTATCCACTTGACATACCTAAAGAGCTTTTAATTAAATTTATTTATTGTTTATTTACACATTTTATCATTGAAGTATTATTTTATCATTTTATTATTTTATTATTTTGCACATTGTTATTAAAGGGTTAGTTCACCCAAAAATGATAATCCAGTCATTAATTCCTCGCCATTATGTTATTCCAAACGACATAAGACTTTCCTTCATCTTCTAAACACAAATTAAGATCTTTTTAATGATATCTAAGAGATTTCTGTCCCTCCATTGACAGCCTACGCAACTACCACTGTCAAGCCACAAAGGTAGTAAAGCCATCATTAAAGTAATCCATGTGACTCAGTGGTTTAACCACAATTTTAAGTATGGACACGAGTGCTTTGTTTGCGCAAAAACAACATAATTTACCATTTTATTTAAAAATATGAATCTCCAATGCACCTTTACACAGCAACGTTTGTTCTCGCATCAACACAACACGCATGGAGATTAATATTTGTAAATAAAGTGGTAAAGTATGTTTTTGAAAGTGGTAGTTGCGTAGACTGTCAATGGAGTGACAGAAAGCTCTCATATTTCATTAAAAAGATAATTTGTGTTTAGAAGATGAACGCAAGTCTTATGGGTTTGGAACAACATGAGGGTGAGGAATCAATGACTGAACTTTCATTTTTGGGTGAACTAACAAATGTCATGTGCTGTCATTAGTGATTCGATTAATTTCTGTGAACCGGTTCTTTCGGACAGTTCATTTCAATGTTCATAAACCTTACGTCATCAAGTAACGATGGCACGACACATTTATTTTCGAACAACTTGTCTTGACCGGTTTCTTCATATGAACCGGGTTCAACCGGCTCAAAAGAACGATTCGTTCAAGATCCGAACATCACTAGCTCTCTATAATGTCCAAAAGCGTTGTCTAGGTGGGCATCTCTCACTAGCTATTGAGATCTGTGTCTCACTCACTTTACTTTGACCGGTTGGACACTTGTTGCTGAACTTCCCAGACTTCAGATCCTCATGTTTGTGATGTTTTGACTGTTTTTAAAGGATGGCGTTGGACGGGATCCGGATGCCAGACGGCTGCTACGCAGACGGGACCTGGGAACTGAAGATGAACGTGACGGACCTCAACAGGGACGTGTCCCTCAGAGTCACCGGGGAAATCCACATCGGCGGGGTGATGCTCAAACTCGTGGAGAAACTTGGTACGTACACGGTTTCCACCCTTCGTCTGAGTTTGCTGAGCCGAGTGATGCTCATGCTAACTGCGCTTTCATTGACTCATGGTCGCCGTACACATGATTATTCACTGATTCAACTGTAATTCATCATACACTGCATTCAGACATCCAAGCGTAACGCGTAATGTGATTCACAGTGCAGGTATTCTCTCATTATTTGTAATAATTGACTGACATATTCCGACCAGACTGTTTAATTAGTTAATATTTGTTCATTTTAAAACTATCGGCATTGACTGATAACTGAGCCATAATAGCAGAAGTGGTCATTTATATCATCAACAGTGATATTTTCGGTGGTGGTTCGGTTGAATGATCGGGCTGTTTTAATAATCGTACTAATTCTACACTCTTGCAAATAAGGGCTTTTTATTGGCATTGATGGTTGCATGAAGAACCTTCAACATTCGTGGAATTACTATAAGGTTCTTTATAGTGGAAAAAGGCTCTTTTAGATTATTAAAATGGTTATTTTGCGCTACCTAAAGAATCAAAACAGATTCTAATATATGCAGGATTTGTACAAAGTGCTTGAATTAGATTTTTTTGACATTGAAGTCCTGGAAAACCCTTGAAAACAGACGTATTTATGAAAAGGTACATGGAAAAGTGCTTGAATTATTAAAAGACATGTGAAATTATTGCTTAATTTTATTGATAAAACAATCTTTTGACACAAAATTAATGCTGCAGCCATTTTGCATGGCTATGAGCGTGATATTGCTCATAAATATCCACGTGTATGATAGTGTTTTTATTCTTCAGGTCAATCATATTCATATTCATGGGAGAAAAAATCTGTTTGAATTAATAAATATCTTTGCTATAATATCCTTTTACTGGTTAAAGCTACCACAGTCATTGCATGTGCTGCACTTTACCATTTTGTTTTATTAGTTTATTTATCTATTATTTGAATTTGAAATGATACTATTCTTTGATAAATGAGATCTCTGATTGTAGTCCTTGAAAACCAAAAAAGTAGTGTTTGGAAAGTCCTGGAATTGTATTTTACAGTGTCTGTACGAACCCCGTCTATGGGATCACTGCAAAAAAAAGGTTTTGAAAGCTTAATTTTAAGAGTGTATGAGAATAGCAAAGTCCACACCTCAGGTATAGCCATGATGACACAGAGGATTCAGAGTGATTTATTCCCAACTTATGAGCGATTTACAGCGAAAGCCAATCAGAATCCACCGGTAGAATACATAAAGCAGTTTTATATCGGACATCATGTTCTATATGCTAGGGCTGTCGCTTTTGTGAAAAAATCCTGTTCGATTTTTGAGTCATAAGTGTTCATTGAATCGATTTTCCATCGAAAGACGTTTCCATTTTCAACACCAAATACAGGCAAATCCACGGACACCTAACAGGCATTAGGACGAGCATAAAGAGGGCGCTTGAGACGCACAAGTCAGCAATATTCCTGATGATTTATTGGTGTGAAGTTTCGTGCTCAATGACAAACAGGAGCGCAACATTCAGGGATTGAGATTAACACCTCGACCCGCCAAATGCGGGTACAAATGAACTTTGGCGGGAAACGCTGTCAAATCACGAGCCAATCTGGCGTTTCTGTGTTTACTCACTTTGCTGGGGAAGTTCGTGTAAGACAAATCTGTGTGGATTTAGCGCAAATACGCAACTCGTGATCCTCATGATATATTAAATACAGCGTATTGCAGAATCTGCGCATTTCTGGCTTACTTGAACACACACACACACACACACACACGTCACTACGCAACAAATAACGGCGCGCTTGTTCACTTGCACTGAAGTAATAGCGAATATTAAAAAGCATTTGGTGAACAGAAAAGACATTGTTATTGTCCAGCATCCCACATGTTCTGTGTGCTGTATTGATCTGTCCACCGAAAACACATTTTTGGTAAAACAAAAATTAATAAAAAAGGCCGTTAAAATCGATTCCCTATTTTCGTTTTCGAATCTTGTGTTGGTTGGTCCGATCGATTGTGCAATCTATTTTCTAACGTAAAGTGACAGCCCTAATAGATGTGTCCTCGTTTAATGAAAAACCCTTAACGGATGATTATTCCCTTGCATTATTAAATGGACGTGTTTGTGTGATATTTATATCTTTGGTTCGAAAACAAAAGTTTGGAATGATATTAAATGTGGCATAATTTGCTTCCTGACCATTTCCTTGCAGTTCATCCTTGTTGTTTGGAGCTATAGAACAAAACAGCCTTTGTTTTCCGTGCTCTTCCCACTCCATGAAGACGAAGATGAAGAACACATGTCCACTGATCCTCCCTTGTGGAGCCATTGCATTATTATTGCATTTTTCTGGATTTTCTGCATGTGTTGCTGGGATGTTGTGAACTCCTTGAATGCTTGACGCTTTACAGTGTCTGAAAAGTGTTGCTGTAAACGATCAGCTGTGGCATCTGTTGTTTTCTTCTTTGCTGGAGAATGAGGCACACCAGGACCTCCTGTGGCTCGGCCTTCATCTTTGAGCAAAGATGTTAAAAAAGCAGCTTTGTTTGAGGGTAAATGTGTGAGAAAACTCCTCTTGCCGTGGTCATTAGGGACTGGTTACCCATGATGCTCATGCATTAACCCTGTAAACTCTCCAGGAATGTGTGGTTGTGCTAGTTTAGAGCACATGTTAGCTATTAACCCTCAGAGAAACTTCATTTCTCGTGACCCAGACATGCTGCTTGAAGATACCTACGTGGAGCTTAACAAAAATGTTGTTGTTGTTCTCCTTTGTGCTTCGTTACTGTGCTTTGTTAATGAGAAAGTTTGTCTGTTGGCTCATTAACCCTACATCTGTCATTTTTGAGGCCTCCAAATGATCAAAACTTTGCGTTTGCACTCGATCTCCTCAGTCCTTCTGTCTCTGATTGAGAGTTTAGACTCTTATCAAGTAAAAGTCTTTCAGTGTAATTGTAAACGTCCTCCTTCAGCTCGAGCTTCACGAGTCTTTCCGTGTCAAATCTGACCTGATTTGCTGATGAACTTTTACATTAATATTCGAACAGGAACGCTTACTGGACTGAAGCAGGTTTACTTAATTATCCAGACATAATTTTATAGAAAAATCATGAGTATCAAATATGATCATCAGGCTTTTGAGGAAGGTTTATTTGTTCATCTCTCTCAATCATCATCATTGTATTGCATTGCATTATATGTTTTAAAACTACAGATCTTTGATCTTAAAACTAAGCACTTAAATATCATCTTACTAAGACATATTATTGGTAGATATAGAGTGACGACTGATATTTTAAATGCAGTTTGCTTTCAAACAACTCAAACATGCGTTTTAGTCTGGGACTAGTTTAAGTGTGTGAAACCGGGGTTAAGGTGACGCTGTACAGGGTTAAACAGATCAGCAGTGCAGCGAGTTCTTGGATGCTTTGTGCTCTTGGTACGCCAAATAAAAAATATTATATTTTGACATTTTGTGGAATCTGTCAAGTCTGGATGAATTGAGAACCACGATTTTTTTTGTTTCAAACAGAGATCACAGTTCTTCCAAATACGTCATTGTTTTTCATTAATCATTACTCTATGAATCTAGCCTGGAAATCCAGACCCAAAGCCGAAAGATTGAGGGTCTGGCATTGAGTAATGAAAATCGCCCAACTCGAGGGGAAGCATGCATTTGAAAATCTCACTGCACGTAATTGGATAACACTACGGCCAATCACAACTATAAGCCTCATACGCTTCGCTACCAGCGGAGCTAACTGGTAGATTTGACTCTAGCCGTATCCGGTCGGCAAAACAGCAAAAACATCCTTCTTGCAAAGGAACGATTCGAGCGTCCTCTTTTAGATAAAAAGCCAAGTCTAACTCGTTCATTGTAGCGGCCAAAGCCGTTTCAGACAACTGGTGTTCATCCATAGCCATCTTGCAATGTTTATTAGGGATGCAACAATACAGTTAGCCCACGGTTCAATACATACCTCGGTTTTTTAACCACGGTTTTCGGTTCGGTTCTGATGGCTTGACACATAAGAGTGTTTTTTTGTTATTCTATGCTTAGCCAATAGGAACAGTAAGAGGTTAAGGAGGAAAAAATTAAAACGGTTAATTGCAATACTCCTTTATTTTACTTAAAAGCTAAGAAAAGTCCACTAGTTCCTAGTGTGTAGTAATATAATATAAAATTAACACTGACATTTCACAGCTACTGGTAGCCCATGTAGGCTACAAACTGGGGAACACATAAATTCCTAAATTTTGAAAATAAACATACATGTGAAGTTGGTAAGCATAAATTGACCATTTCAAATAAACATACTTGCACTTCAGTAAACATAAATAAGCCATCTTAATTAAACTTAACAGTTATCCAGTACAGTGTCCTTCATTCAGAATGTAAAGTGCAATAATTTCACTTAGGTCAGCTATCTATTCCTGTATTTTGAGGTTTCCGTTTAAGTAGGCTACACGTGTAAAACAATGCTTGCACACAGTCATTTATTTGTTTACCGTTTTTTTTCTTCCTCAATATTATACTCAACGGCAAAACCGAAATGTCCCCACACCACGGATTTAAAAGACGCCGGCGCTTCCTCGTACTGCAGCCTGACTTGCTCGCCATGTTAAAGTGTGGAATGATGGTTAAGCCGTTAGTTTCCTCATCTCAGCTCGTTACAGGCACACACAAACAGTCAATTCGGAGAGAAATAAAACGCACATAAATTATTTAATCGTAAAACCAAAAAAACGCAATTCACAAGTGCGTATTGAACCGTGGATGTCGTACCGAACGGTTCAATATTATATTGAGAATTGTGGCATCCCTAATGTTTACTAATGGTCGCCTCTGGCTAAAACTATATCAGATACACCGATGTGATTGGTGCAGCTCGGCTATTAACTATCGGCATAGTTAATGAGCATCATTGCTCAATGCCAGAGTAACTCGCTGAGCAAATTCAAATTGTGCTCTAGCGTGAACTCTGGATTTCCAGGGTACT